ACATGTTAAAGGCCACCCTTTTCAGAGACTAGGCTGTGAAAGGAAGGACAGAAGTGGGTCATCATCTGAAAGAAGATGAGAAGGTAAGTGATCATAAGGCCTGCTACATGTCCTTTGGGTGAGTGATTTAAATAGCATGGAGACAAAGACCAATGAGGAGTCAAGAAATTGCAGGGCTAGGGGCTAAATGAAGCATCTGTACTGACCTTGAAGCTGTTCAGGATGATAATAGAACTAGGGGTGCACAAGAAGAATAAGCCAAATGCCAAAGTCATTGATGAATGTGGGACAATGACAGAGAAGTCGGCAGACAAAGTGGACAAGTACATGGTGCCTTTTGACAGGATGGTTAGATGAGGAGGAGGAATCTTTATGTGTGAGGGTGGAGGTGTAATTGTAAGGATAGTCATTCTTTTTCCTTCTAGGTTTGTGGTACAGGGAGTGAGTGCTGTTATCAGATTGGACAGTGCTCAGGGAGAAGTTGAGGATGATGGAAGTGTGCTTACTTTGTTTTGAGGGCACTAGGGAGAATGGTGGCAAGGTCAGGAAGAGAGGAAAGCGTGGAAAGACGAAGGGGGAGAAGGGAATGAAGAGCAGAGGAGTAGTATTGGGAGGAGAGTGGACAACACAGAGAGAGATTATTGGGATGGTTTTGATGTGGGGCTGTGGCCAAGGATAACATGGATATAGATCTACTAGGTTTCAAGTAAAACTCACAATGTCACCAGCTCCTGTGCAGTTCCCAATGATCCTGATGCCACCTACTCTGATGGTGGTCTTGGAAGCTTAATGAAGCTGGCAGACTTTGTGCTTAGATTTAAAACCAGAATATTGGTGGGAAATATGGCTCTGAGAAAATCTCAGGCAGATGGGGTTAATGCTCATGTTTTAGGAGTTTGAAGCAGCACCAGTTTTAAGTGACCAAAGGTAAAACTCTAGATGGAGCCAGCTATGAACTAAATTGTTCCAAATCCCTTCTTTGTTAAAAAATGTTGAAAGCATTCATGTTTATGTTGGGAGACTAGCTCCAAGGAATTGACAGAAGTTTTAATACAGGAAATTGATCATGTACTCTTTAGAATGTCTTTACTCATTCATTTCTTTATTCACTTAAACAGTTCATTCAATCATTTATTGAAACATGATTGCCTATGACTATAGACTATCCAACTTCACAAATAACTTTCTACAGACACAATTTTAAGCCATTATAAAATGTTCACAAACTTTAGAGTGTCGGTCAAATGTATAAACTCTAAGGAGGAAACCATAATAATCTGCTACTTAAGCAGGCTCTCTTTGTACTTGGGATCACAGGATTACAAAGCTTCTCAGTAACTCCTTCACTCAAGCCATGTACTAGGCATTGAATTTAACAAAATATTTTTAAAATGATCTTATATAGTTCTCTATGTTTTATGCTTCCTGTGTTGTTTGTGACACTTTCCAGTCAGCACAGTTGGCCAAAAAACAGATCTTTACGCAGTCTGGAGGTTTGCTCAACCTGCCATCTTCTTCAGATCCAGAAAAAATTGAGTGAACCTTTCTTGTTTGCCATTTGGAAAGACAAATCTCAGTCTATATTTCTGCACACCTTTGTGGGAGGAAGACGTATTATTAGCGTTATTCCTGGCCTAGCATCAACTGAAACATGGAACTTAGAGTTTTCTCCTTGATTTTCTCCCTCTAGGCACCCACAAATACCAGTTCGTGGCATGCAGGAAAACTGAAACTGGAAGTGTGCAGGTCATGGGAAGAGAGTACAGCAAACATTGCACACAAACAATGTAAAAATCACGTGTCAAACATTTCTGCTCTCACAAGTCCTTTTGATCACCCAGGGGAATCCTGTTGGTCTATTACCCAGCTTTCTGCTTCCTTAATATCTCCCTTCCCTTTATCTTTTATTTATCTTTGTCATTGTTTTGTCTACTTTTTCCCTGAAAGAAATAAAATCAAGCCAAGATAAACAAATAGATTTTTCTTATTTCATAGACAGCAATTTAGTTCTGTTATTTGATATATGATTTCCAAGTCTCATGTCTTGCTCTTTATAACTTACCAAAAGCTTTTCTTAAAGAAGAAAAGTTCCCTTCTGAAAAGACTACTGGTACTAGAAGAACATATATACTATACATATATGCCACCTATTACACATTTGCATTTTGTTTTACAAAAGCTAAATACTCTAGCATGCTGGACTATCTGAAACTAAAAGCCTGTTATGAGAGTGTATGAAAAGGCACACTTTTCATGTAGTATCATATTAACAAGGTGGATGAATCTGTGCAATTTCATTTGTCTTTTCATAAACTCTCCTGGATGTCACTTTTCATTGAGTTCTTACTCCTATTACCACTTCCTCAGTGTTGCAAATTGGGATATTCTGTTTTCTTGAAAAATTATTTGAATATTTTTTTCACTGATACTGCAACATATAAAGTTGTGTTTATGTATTGACAAACATATATTGAACATTTACTATGTGCTATTCCTTAGGGAAATGGAATGAGTCAATAGTCCACAGACCAGGAGACCACGGAGCACACAACTAAGATGCAGCAGCCTGAACCAATGCATTTGCAATAAGTAATTATTGAATTGAGTGTGGCAAAGTGGTTCTCTTGAGGGCTTTTTAGATATTTCAAATGTGGTCATTGCATACGTTTAACTAGCTGATGCAGCTTCAAAGCTGACTTTGTCTGACATGTTCAGGATCACTAGATAGTGATCTTGCTTGTGTGGTAACTGAATTTTTCACTTTGTGGAACCGAATGTTTTAACTTAAATATTTTTCACTTAAACGTCAAAGCTTTAAAATTGTATTTCCTACTTTTATAGCATGCCATCAGACTGGAATCCAGAGAGGTTATCTCTTTTTACTGATGTCAAACTCAAATTTTTGTTTTTGGCAAAGTTATCCTTTATTATAAGAAATATAGCTTTCCTGACTTTATATCATGAATCCACTCTGAGGCTTGAATGAAAGATATCTTTAGAAGTATGGCTAAAAACCAAACCGAAACCCTGTCCTGGGTTATTTAGTTTTCTTAAAATAAATTCTGTAGCCAAATAACTTATTCCATAGCTAGGTACAATTACATGGACTACAGATTCTCTGATCAAAAAATTTATCAGATCATCTTTCTTTTAGTTTCTTTTTAGCCACACCTTCCAATGACATAGGCGATACCATGATATTAGCCAACTTTCAGCCTTCGTTTTGACAGATGCTTCTCGACTTACAATGGTGTTACATCTTGATCTATGAGACACAATAGATCAGGCTATAGCTTAGCCTAGCATACCTTAAATGTGTTCAGAACACTTACATTAGCCTATAGTTTGGCAAAATCATTTGACAAAAAGCCTATTTTATAATAAAGTGTTGACTATCTCATGTAACTTATTGAATATCATACTGAATGCATATCACTTTTGCACCATTATAAAGTCAAATAATCATTAAGTCAAACCATCATAAACTGAGGAATGTCATCTGTGTTTAACAGATACTCTAGGGACTGTTAACAAGGAAAAATGTCGTCTTTCTGCTTTCACTTAATTAAATTAATTCACTTCACTCATTCATTCAACAAATATTTATTAAGCACCTACAATATGCCAGGCACTGTGCTGGGTGCTGGGGATACAACTGTGAACAAAATAGACACAGTCCCTGCCCTCAAGGAGCTTACAGTCTAGTAGTTACACAGACAAGAAGTACACAGGCAATTACAATGCGGTATGGTAAGTGCCTTGTTGGGGAAAAACATTAAGAAGGGCACCTAACTCGGGCTCATAGACAGCGGATGGTGGAGAGTCATGGAAGTCTTTTCAGGGCAAGTAAATTCATTTTGAGTATTGAAAGATGAGTAAAGTCAGTCAGGGAAAGAGGAGACAGGGAAGAGTTGTAGACTGAGGAAACAGTATATGCAGTGTTCCATGTGCTGCTTTGGGGGTTCATTTGCTGGCGGGAGAAGTTGGATAGGAGCGATAGAAGTCCCGGAGGAGACAGGCTAGAGCCAGGTCATGAAGGGACTCATTTGCTCTGCTCAAGAGTTTGGAATTTTTCCTGAGAGAACAGAGTGATGTATGTGTGTGTGTGTGTGTGTGTGTGTGTGTGTGTGTGTGTGTGTGTGTGTGTGTGTGTGTGTGTGTATCAGATTTACACTTTAAAGATTGCTCTTACTGCCCCACAGAGATTGAGTGGGGCATGAGGGTCTTGAGAGTTGAGGGAAGGAGATCAATCCTTCACCTTTTCCAACTTTATTTTCCACACTGTCATGCCCTGGGCTCTGACCAGCCCACCTAGTTGTATACATTCCTTCCATAAGCCATCGGCACGCATGGCTTTGGGCCACCGCTCACACAGAAGGCTCTTAACACCACCTCCTCCTGTTAAAACTCAACTCATCCTTCAAGTCCAGACTTTTGAAATCATCCTAACTTGTGCTTTCTGCCAAGATCTCTAAGTACGTGATTCTTATACATATTAGAGTACTTATTTATTATTTCAAATGAGCCAAATCTTCTTTTGAATCATGTTAATTTAATCCATACATAACATAAGGTAATTTTTATAAATAAACATGTGTATAATTTTCTTTGCAATTTTCAGTTGAAAACAAGGACTAATTCTTCATTTGTTGTCTACTCCAAACTATTATTAGTGCCTTCAAATGATTTAAATGGAACAATAGGAATGAGGGGAGAAGACCAAGAGACATAATTTTATGCAGCAAAATACAGTCAAGTAAAATTTCAGTACACGATTACAGGATAGGTTGCTGTTAGGACAGTGATTCATTCCCTAACTCCAAGACTTAGTCTTTGACAATTTAATTTGCTAATGAGTCAAAGATTTGCAAAAGAGGGGTAGCTTAGTATGCAAAAATAATAAAGACTAGCTACAGTTTCCAATATGGCCCATCACTTGAATTTCTCAAAGAACTTTTATAATGATAAGAAAAAAACCTTTAAGCTCTGTAGATACTGTAAAGAACATCTGTCGTTTTATTCTTTTTGGTGGGTACAAAAACCACAATTTTGTACACGGAACAAGATTATAAATAATATCAATAACATGAGTGACCCATTGTCTCTTTTGAGTCTACATTGCAGACTGATGATTTAACATTAACGTTTTCTTCCTTTTGTTTTTCTTCTGATAGTGAGACAAATGCAATCTGTGAACCGACTCATGTGATAGAGTGAAGGTTACAGCAAACAAGAAGATGACCAACAACTTTTATAAAAAAAAGTCTCTAAAGTTTATTACAGTGATGGCATTTATATCAATTATTGCAATGTATTGTTCCCTAAGATGGTTAGAAAAAAGAATCGTGTTGTCCTCTACTGAATTTACGTCAGTTAAAAAGCAAGCATGTTTCAGTATTTGTTTTCTCCAAAGTAAGTGTAAATACTTCCTTTAAATTTTTTTTCACAGGATTTACATGTTTGTTTATTATTTTATCACAGTTGAGTGATTTGTTTTCTCAGCTGGGTATTCTTCCATTGACTATATGGGTGTTCTGGAGACACAGGTTAGCGTGTTCGTCGACTTCTAGAACTATTTTATCCTTTCTGGTGAAGACAAAGGCCTTTCTGAGCAAGAACTTCACAGTTTAATGCGCTAACTCGCAAGTCTGATTAGTTTTTAAGTCCACTCGAGTGAAATTTGTTGCTGTTAATACACCCATCCCAGCTCCCCACCCACCCACCCACTCCCCGAAAAAACCTAAACTGTGAGTTTTCCTGATAGAAAATCTGAGTTTGGGTTTCCGAGCTGAGCTCATGCACAGTCGCCGCTGCCGCCGCCCGCCGGCCCGGGACGCACTTCCGCTCTCGGCCAAAGGATCGGGTTAGCGAAGCCCCGCGCGGGGCGTGTCCCTCGGGGCTGCGTTTCCGTCAGTCACCAACACAGTTTAATTAAGGCACTCAATTATTTTTTTGGTTTTTATGGTAGGTCCGATGCAATGACAGCCAATCCTGAACTTTGTCTGATTGCAGTTCCAGCGTGTACAGCCTTGGGGCAGTCGGGCGTCAAGACGCGGCCGTTTTCTCCCACGCTCCCGGTGATGGATAACCTGGCTTTGTTTCTTATGGCTTCAGAAAAGGTCAGCTGGGTTGCATGGAAAGGAAACAAAGAATGCGCAGTGTTACCATATTTCTGTTTCTTCGATAAAATATGGCACAACAAACACCGAAATATCAATAATTAGACATCTGCATTTTTTTTTTTTTCCATATTCTTTTGGTCATATGAAAACTGCTTATCCGGGGAAAGAAAAGCTCAACTACACTGAGGAATGAATCAGGCTAGAGTTTGCGGTCCTATCTGTTTAAGAACTAATTCTCAAATTATAACACTAGGTGTTGTTTTGCAAATCTGGGCAGGAAACATCTTTTAACTTGCTGCACTCTATACCCTAGTACTTCTGGATGAGCTTAAAAGCTCCTTTGTGTTTGACAACATTCTTTAAATCATATTTTCTTTTTAGAAAATGTCTTCTTTACAGTGCAAGGATTAGACCCTTAAAATTGTGGTAAATTGCCTAAACAAACTAAATGTATATAGACTATTCATGACGGATCTTCCTGTTTTCATAACACGAACCTACCCACAGACATTTCCATTCACTCACACCAGTTATAGACATGACCCAGAACAGCACAATTGGTGACATGTAGTTCACGTTATGTCTATTATGGAAGGTAAAGCTGGTATTTTAAGAACTGTGTTTAAAGGGGGTGCACTGAAAGGGGGCATGTTTTAAAGCCTACTGAATGGTCGTCGATGAGGAACTTCCCATATTGAGGTTGTGGGGTCAGGTCTCTGAAATCATTCAATTCTGTCATATTAGATAGCAGATAATAATATTACACACAGGAGAAATAGGCAGCATTATTATGTAAGTCTAATCACTTCATTCATTGCTTTTAAATTCTTTCTAGTAGCTGAGTTCTAACATTAATTCAAGTGGAAAATAAGGTAAAGGAAATATTTTCTCAGTTTGTTATGATTTTAGTTCATAACTCTCTTACAGCTTATACTGTATCTTAATTCCCTGTTGTGAATTTATGTTTGTCTAATTCTTTAGGAAATCCCATCCTTGTATTTATTGTGCCCTGGAAATTAAATATTAGAATAATTATATATTAAATAATGAAATTAATATTAGATTAAAAACTATTAGAGTAATAATGTTTAGAGGTCAGTTACCTTGATAAATTCACAAACTTGAAGTCAAATTGCTAGTAATGACATATCTATGATAAAACCCAAGGTCAATCTCATAGTTCTGTTTTAGGAAACAGTCTCAAAAATTAATGCTTATCTTCATAGTCAGAACTCAAGATACAGTCTTTACAGAAAGATTGACAGCTTTTACATTTATAAATCATTGAACTATAATGAGCATTTTAAGGAAAAACAATACTTCTACCTGATTATCTTCTATTAGTCCCTTGAAATCAAAGTTCTTCTGACTTTTATTTGGCACATAATAGGCACTCAGTAAATATTTGTTGAGTGGATGAATGTCCATATATGGGAAGATACTTTTTTTCTTCCTTATAAATGAAACTGATAGGATAAAATTCCGAATGAAACATTTGTCAAATCCTGCAGAACTGTACACTAAAAAGGATGAATTTTACTGTGTGTAAATTGTCCCTTAAAAAAATTCTAAATGAATATATTGCATGCTATTTTAAATTGAACAGAAGCTGAATTTCAATACACCAGTGAAGAAGTTAGAAATAAAACAATTCAATTCAATTCAAACATTTGAAAGGATCCCTTAATCAAAGACCTCGTTCGTATGGCAAAATATCACCAGAGAACTAAAAAAAGAACATGGCTGCAATAGTCTTGCTTTTTGAAGTGATACTTCTGGGAGGTTATGTCATTAGAGATGAATATTTTCCTGCTTAGTATCAGAGTGTGCATGCTTTTGGGTATGTGTATAACAAGAAGCATTAGCAAAGCAGTATTATTTATGTCAAGCAAATCTAACAACAAAATGTTTTATTTAAGAGACATAAGCCAGGACTTGATATCAAGTTGCTAAATAACTTTCTGGTGTAATCCTGTTTTTCAATTTTATGTGTTTTAGATGGATTTTTTTTTAGGTCAGAACTCTGTAGTGGGTACCTAGCTGTATGAAACATTCCAGTTACAGCATTAGAATTTTCCATGAGCTTCTAGAGAAAAAAAATTTTGGTCAGTTTTGGGCAGTTTAGATTAGTTAGATTAATTCAAATGCTGAGGAAAACAAGAAAAATGAATATCCACGAGTCTAATCCAAGCCAATACATGAGCCCGTCATAAAAACTGGGAAACTTCAGAGTCCCAAGACCACTCAGGGGCTTGTTTAATAGAGGACGTGGGAAAAGTAGTTCCAGAGAATTCACAGCTATCTACTACTCATCACTCAATTTAAACAAAGCTGAGGCCAAAGTCTGAATAGTTTCTTCAGATTCCCTTTCAACATTTAATATTAAGTAAAATAGATGATCATTTTCAAAAATCTGGTATAGCTTTGGTTTAATTTTTTTGAAGAGGAAATACTCAGATACAATTAATAAAAGCACTGTGATTTTTCGAAAGCATTTTCAGAGGGCTTTGGCCATACAATCTATTTTTTGTCCTTTCTTTTCTTGATTGTAGTTGTGAGGAAAGGAAAACTTGCAAAGCTTGAACAAGTCCATGTACTCTCAAATAACCTCTTCTCTTTTATAGATTAATGCAACTGGGTGTATTAGTTAATAAATCTTTGACAACTACTCATTTTCTCTTTAAATCTGTTCTAGTATTTTAATTTCCTCCACTTATATCTTCTGCTTCTTCCATAAAATGCCATTCCTATTCATCTTGATGTGAACCTTTGCGGCTCTTCAAGCTGGAAACTTCGTATAATTTTACATATGGTCTCTGTTTGGTTGGATCGTTGTAGCTAATGGCTGTTACCTTAATTATTTGTCTATGTTCTTTTGAGGGACGATCACTTTTAACTAGATAGTCTACCATGGATTGAAGGTTTCAGGTTTTGCTCTTGGGGTCCTGGGACAATATTATCTGAATTACCAAACATTTGCATCATTATGGTCAATAGAATTTTTGAAAGTTTTCCTATAATTTGAGAGTAAAACAAAAACTGCTTATTCTTAAGTCTCCTCAACAACACATCATTTCCATTTACCTTGAATGCCATTGTCTTTTAAAAAGTCAGATAGATATAAATGCTTTCTTTTTATATGAAATCTGTTGTTTCCAAATATATTATTAAATGCATGTATTATGCATGTATTATTAAATAGTATGTATATAACCTGGAAATTTATATCTCTTCTTAACAACTTCCTGGAACTTTGTAATGAATTAGCATACATGAGTATTTCTTTCTAAAATTGTCCTATACTCTTTTACTTTTCGTTGCTTTCCTACCCTTGGACCTTTGCTGATGGTTGAAGTGCCTTTGTTATGCCAAAGAAAAGTCAGTTTTAATGAACTGGTAACAAAACTTTTTTAAGATATCTTATAAACTTCGTCTCAGAATGCAGTCCAAATAATTGGCTCTGAAAGCTGATCAAGTATTGTTTTTCTCTGCCTGGGAAAATCACTCCTCAACTCTGTAAACATTAAGATGAAAGCACTCCCCTAATGGCCAAGATACTTTGGCATTATCCTAGTTTGTTGTTTTGCTATGAGAAGGCATGCTTCAAATATTTTGATCTAAGCGAATAGAGGGTTTAGTTCTTAATTCTTTTTCATAAAATCAGTAAAGAACCATTTTGAGATGATCTATGTGCAATTGTACTCAGTCATTGATTGCTAGATTATGGATAAAAGCAATTAAATCTTGATAAAAAGGGATGGCTTTTGTTCTTTGTTTTAAGATAGTCACAGGTCCTTCAATAACTTTTACATAAATAAATGCAAAAATCAATCATGTTTACCTGGCATATAACCTCAGATGTACATCTTATTAAAATTATATGAGGTTTTTGATTCGAGGGTACATCATACACCGGATGTCTTTTATAGGTTCAAAGACTCATTTATCATTGTAATCAGACTGAGCAGCCTATTCAGTGGCTATTATGTATAATTTTAGAAAATGGGTTTTAGAGACCTGATTTTAGGAAAAGCCATAACAAATCCTTTCAGATCTTATTTTAAAGCCACTTTCAATCATTAGAGCAAAGAAGAAGTGGACATTTAGATTTTTAAAAAAATGATCTCCATCTCCTGTATTTCAGTGAATGCTTACTTACGATTTTTGCTGTGATACCATGAAAGGATGTAAATAAGTGGGACTGATCTGGCTTGTTTAAAAGCAATTGAAATGAAAAAGAAATGTTCATAATAACTCACTGAAATTTTTGTCTTTTACTGCATTTCTCTCATAGGACACAAATATTGCTGACTTCTTTGATGGAGGAACAGCTGTATTACCTAAAATGCCTATTTACCTTAGTGATACTATGTGTATAAAAGTTCAATTTTATCTAATAAATGTGAATTGTAGTCAAAATTCTGATAATCACTTTTCCCTAAAGGTCTGGCTCAAGGACCACTGTCAGATGAACAAAAAATGGGGTTTCACGCTTTAAAAATATAGAATGATGGTTAGTATGAAACAAATTAGGATAGGAGAGCCCAAATTCATTAACCACATACAATGTGCCTTGGAGCTTTGACATGTATTATTTCTCAGAAAACAATGTGACTTTTTCAAAAATAGGCAACTGTTTAGATCTTGACCATTTGAAATAGATTTTGTGCTCATTTTGTTAGCACCTATCCTAAAATGAGATCGTTACAGAGAAGATTTGCATGGTCTGTGTGCAGAGAAGCCCAGATCTCATTTCCAATTTTTTCCCCCAAATTTCAGGTAGAGTATACTGTTTCAATCATTTCTCAGAGAAATTCTGGTTTGTTTTGTCTTTCTGACCCCTCGCAATGCAGATATCTATTGGCAACATAAAGGTTCAAACAGTACGTCTGCAGCCAGAGAAAACCGAACCACTTTGCACTGAAGTTTTCAAAAATATAAAGCTCTAATCAGAAGCAAGCGATACCACCACTGGACAGACAGGTCACAACACCGCGTTCACAGGATGCATCCCCCACTCACTGGAGTAGGCCCTAAGTCCTACCCCTAAATTTTAATACTTTCGGTTCCATATACGTTGTAACCTTCTCTATAGGTTGCTAAATTCTGGGTATTCTGCGAGGAAGTTGGGTTAAAAGTCTGTGCACTCTTTGCCACCTTCATTCTCTTCGCTTCTGCCCTGGACTTGTAACAGAACTCTATCAAAGCCACCAGCATTGCCAAGCCCAAGCCGCCAACCAGAATGTAGAAGACGCCTGCTACGTTGCTCAGGCTCAAGGCACTCGTCTTGTCCTAGGGGGATAAAGACATTTCAGTTAACTGCAGAAATGTCACATCCAAAAAGTAAAAGAACACATGAAATTCAAAATGCCAATTAAAGTAAATGCTTAATTTAATCTGAAATTATTTATAAGTCACTGATACAGGTTTGTGGATTAAAATATAAAGATCTAAGCTCTCGGGAGAAGTGAAATGATGATGATTACCAATAAATTGTATGTAATTGCATTCAATAAAATCTGTAACATTTTATCATTATTAAATAGGCAATGAAAACCACTATACTTAGCCATACATAAGCATTTATATATTTACATAGGGTGGCAGAAGTGGGCTTATTAATGTTCAATTTGAAAATGACATATTTAAAATCCATTTACATGGGAAAGGGGACCTCTTTTTGGCTTTGCTTTCATTAAAACATATTTTTAATGTTTGAGATTTCTCTTGAATAAATCTAACTCCACATTTCCTACTGGAGGAACTAAGGGTCTTTAAGCTAGTAGTTTCATATTTTGTTCATCATTACTTTAACAAATATATGCAAATAATGTGTTAGAGTACACATCATTTGTTCTTTCAGTTACATCTATAAGGGAGAGCTCATGAAAATGTCACTTTTGCATATTATATGCTATTTAGAAATAATTATTAATATATATATGCATAACATGTAGGTGTTAAGCACATTTTTTAGGTAACTTCTAAAAATACATAAATTACTGTGGTCAACTGAGAAATAAATTATGTATGGACAAATTTATAATTATTGATTTAAAAATACAATTCCATTCCCTCTTAAAAATGCTTAATCAATTAATATTTTAGACATACTATTTTTCAGAGCTTCAGTATACATGTTATGTCACAATAAATCCAGAATAGTCAAGTATATGACTGGAAGTAAAATTGTAACAAGAATTTAAAATTTTTTCATAAATAATAGGTTTATTATAATATTTAACATTATACCAAAAAACTATTTTGCTAGACTACCTGAAGGATGCCCTGTGGCCATCATGTTCTCAGCAGTATGTTTTGTGCAAAATTAAGACCCTTAAGTAGCTTTATTAGGAGAATGTTTAATTAAAAAAGATACACTATATATACTGTCAATGTGGTGATAACATCAACTGACTGGTCCAAAAATTTTAGGGTAATTTCATTTTAAAAATAATCACTCTTTAAGTATTTATGCTTCTCTGACTTTGTATCAGGATTTAAGATAACTATTTCATTATCTGGCCAAGCTTGTTTCATTCCACTCTGGTTCAAAGACAGACACGTGATTAAAATATAGGGATAAGGTCTGAAAAGGGATCCATTAACCTTAGTTTGTCTTCTTCTTAAATCAGCTGAGGCTTTCCTATTTAAAGCAGTCACTTGTTTAATGTCTTAGAATAACCAATAATTTGTTTTCTTTCTAGAAGAAGATACAGAAAAAAATAAAAGAGATTCCAAGAGTCTTCAACTATGGCTTTCGGGCATTGTTACTATATTCTATTAACTTGTGTGGGTATTTAGATTCACTGATAAACATTTTTTGTCTCTTTAGAATAAAAATATAACTCTTTTTATGCTACTTTGATTTACACTCAACAAATTAGGCCTACAGGTTTCTGCATTGCTTTAAAAAGAATTTATGATTAAGAGATATCAAAAATTGAGGATATTATTCATAAACATTGACTTACTAAAATAATTTCATTTGGGGAAATAGAATTGGAAGGTTACTTTGTTTACGTCAGCACAGGGTCTCTTCAAACTAAAGTGGAATGCTTGGCAATTTATTGACCAAAGACTGAACTGAATAAGCATTTATTTATTATTTAGAATCTTCTTTTTCTCAATGACTGCTAATCAATTTCCCATTTCCTGTTTTGAGAATACATCAGTTCTCAAAATAATACGTTTTCCTGTTCTTTGCCTCCGAAACAAAAACCTAACCACAAAGCACTACTTTTATTAGTGGTACGTAAGTTTGAGAATAATATAAGGAATTTTATTTTATAGATTTTTGCAGTTAATTTAAGTTTATTTAAAAGCCTTAATATTGGGGAGCAGGTTGCAATTTCCTTAAAAGACAGTCCTTGTGGTTGAAATTTATGACATTAGCTTTTAATTTAGGCAGTGGCTGAGTGTATAGGGAAATGTTCTGTTTTTATTATTTCCATATACTTTTGACAATTGCTCCCATTTACTGCTTTGTGAACACAAGAGGAGGCCCCGAACTGCAGAGACTGACCTTGCTTCCAGAGTCCTTGGGTCCACATTCACCTTTATCGTACCACCATTTGTTTTTCAGCTTGTCTAAGACGCCTGCCTCACTGAGTTTCAAAACGGCAAGGTTTACAGGAGTTCTTCACGTGGAAAATAACATAAATAACATTATATATGTTATTTTATGTTATTCAAGTAAAACTACATTAGAATCGCATGGCAAAGTGACAGAGCAGAGGCCACAGTAGGTGTTATGTCTTGTACTGTAGGCCCAGGTTTAGACTCAGACATAAAACTGGGGCCTGCTCCATCGCTTTAGGTAACAGGCACATACTGCTCGGGAGGATTTTTAAATAAAAGGTATGCAATTACTGTGAATCCAAAACTATTGGCCTTGGTTGGGTTTCTTGAACATATACAATTTTCCCCACATAAATGTGGAGTTCATTCAAAATCCAGATGCTTTTTTTTCTCCCCCCTTTAAAACTAAAGAAGTGGCTGCAGGTTGACAGACTTCAATAGAAGTTAGACAGGATTGATTTCATTTCTTGCACGTATTGTGATTCAGCTGGTGGGATTTTACTTTATGCTATAAAAGTATGTCTACAGTTTTCATTGTTAAATTGACTCTCTAATCACTTTCATCCAAGACCTACAAGGAGTGTGATTCCTGTGTCACAAAGGGCCACCTCATGCAGGGGAAGGTCCTCATGAGACAAATATGTAAATCATTATTTTAAAGTATAAGCCTATGCTGATATTTTCCTTCTGAATTGCAGTATTTAGCATAAATGATATCAGCAGAGCAACTGTCATTTATCTTGAGCCTACCATATCAATATACTTTAAGTACAAGGTGAAGTGTCTATAATAATTCTACCTACAAATAAGTGACAGGTTAGAGGTAACTAAGATTTTTCTGAATAGACAAACTCTTTTTACTTTAAAGTCCTATTTTTCTTCTCAACCATGTTTGATTCCTTCAGTACTAAATATTGTACAAGGAATCTCAGGGAGGAAGATGTCGCTTACTACCCAGCATCAATATTCTGAAAGAATCTAAGAATTCTTCCAGTTTTCATTCCCATCTTATAGTATGAAGGCCGAGAAGATGAATGGGAAGCAGTAACTCCTAGGATCTTTGGCTGTTATTGTTTTTGTGGTTGGTTGGTTTTTTGTCTCTTTGTTTTTATAAACATCTAGGCACAGATTTGTTGTACTCCTCTGGACATTTCTAAGACTGCCATAGTCATTTTGTCTGGCTGTATTGCCCAATGCCTCACTTCTTCTAGGAAATGTTGAATGCATTGGAGCAACACAGCATGCACTAGATTGGTTGCCAGGGAATTCATTCCATAAACCTATCTACACAACTAAAAAATGCATTAATAATGATGGTGATAATGATAGCTAATATTTATTGAGCACTTATTATGTACCAGGCACTATTAAAAGCACTCTATATGTTTGCTATCACTCACATTTTACAAACGAGGAAACCAAGGCACAGAGAGCTTAATTCATCTAGTCACACAGTTTGGCAGCAGTTTAATCAGAATTTGTGATAGTCTGACTTCATACCTTGTGCAATTAATAATATTAATAACAGAAGACTCAGGAAATGAGATTTCTAGTTAATTGCATTTTCTGGTTAACAGTCAAACTAAAACCCATTTTTATTGCACTGCTTTGAAAAAATTTTCTAAAATATACATTTTTCTTTTTGTTTATTATTTCTGAATACAATTTAAATTTTATATCAATGTTATAAGATCTTACTATAGATTCATTGTTCCATTCAAGAAGAAATATGCATTTGCCATGATCCTGGAATATTATATTGTTTTTCGGATTAAAATTTTACATAAGCATGATTTAACACTTTCTGCCAGAAGCTTGAGTTTGGGGGTGGGGTGAGGATTATGTTAATTGAGGTACTTGGTTAATTTAGCCCCAGTTCATCTAAGTTTTTACTCCATTTCTGAAGCAGTTGTTATAAAACTATACATGTAGGTTGATTGGTAAACTGTGAATCCCTTGAGAGGAGAAGTCACATCTCATTTATCTTTGAAAAACAGTATTTTTCAGAGTATCCGACTCAGAGTAGACACTCTATAATGTAGCCACATTTAAATTATTTTGAATCCAGAGCAAGCTTTTTCATTGAACTGATCCTCTAAAGGTTTTTAGGGCTAGATCCTCAAAGCATTTTTAACACATGTATAGGTAAATCCTTCTAAGGGTTTTTAGGGCTAGATCCTCAAAGCATTTTTAACATATGTATAGGTAAATGATACTAGCCTACATTGCAGTTCTTGAATGGTGTGGGCTGGGAGAAGGAGGATTTAGTGCTGAAAAGAAGAGGAAAAAGCAAGCAGAGAGTCTCCTACAAGTTTCCTCCAGAAGGGACACTTGAAGGCAAATCGTGGATTAGATGAAGACTACCTTTGGCTTCTCTTTCTCTCTTCTTAAGGTACTCTTTTCCCAGCCCCTTCCTCTTTCCTCTGGCTTCTTTATCCCTTCTGCTGTTCACTTCAGTACCTGGGCTTTAGAGGGTAACATTAGATTAGCATTTTGAATATAAGATTTTATTATTAACCATACTTAATGTTCAACTGGTGGAATATTAGAACAAAGAATTCATTACTGAAAGAGTCCTTCTCCAAGGGCTAGCTTCCCTTCATGGTTTTTGTTTATAACATTTTTTCCTGTTTATGAATGCATATTTTCTGGAACAATCCCTTTATTCTTGCATTGGTTTTCATAGCGATGGTGGAGGAGAATAGATCATTTGTAAGTATAACATATATCAAAGGCAACAATGGTCTGTATTCTTCAAAGTGCCAAATTAAATACCTGGAATTGTGTGATCAAATGTAATTCCTAGAGAAAATATTATTTGGTAATCACACCTACAAAATTATTTTTATATGAATATCCACTCCATGACTATGCATATTATATATATATATAATAGAAGGAGAATAAAGTGTAAAATAAACAGAAGAAAATAAGTTTGTAGCTATTAGGTTCTATGAACGATTCATGGTTACAGGCATTGCCAAAATCTCCAACTAGAACCAGAATTAAACAACTCACATAAAAATTTGCATAAAAATCTGGGCATGGTTTATGCTTAGACTAACCCATACCATATTAGATTAACCATATTAGATTAATATCAAAGGGAAAATCAGTGTTAGCCATTATAGTCGATATTTTAAATAGGTTCATTGTCAATTAGTAAATTTCTGTTATTGTATTCACAAGAATGAGTATGAATTCTTACGACCGTAATGAAAAGGAACGCATCGCAATAATATTAACACCATCAAAGGATCAAGTTTTCAAACAAATGAATTTGTATCTCCCAGATCATGCCTTTCTGCTTTAATTTATTTCATTAAAGATGCAGGACCCTGCTCCTCATGTCTTTCATTAAATTTTTATGTTTCAGTGTGAAGCCTCTTGGCCAAGGACGGCCATGATCAGAACTTCATAGCACTGGGAATGGCTGTCAGGTGAGCAGGGGTGCTAATTATTGCTTTGGGGTGTGACGGGGAAGCTGCCACAGGGATGCTAAACGCTTCAGTTGTTATGAAATCATAAGCTTCTTGAGGGAAAGGACAGTGATGTCTTTTTCTACATTGGTACTGACTGGCACATTGTCCCATTAAAGCAGAAGTTTAAAACTTCACTGCTGAATGGATGGCTGGAGAGGTCTCCGGGGTTACTTCCTGTGAATGACAGATGAGTCAGTTGTCTCCTCACAGAAACCTTTCTTGTGTGGTACAGGTTTCCTCTTCCATTTTCCCCCTTCCATTAGATGAATCACTGTTAGGAAAGTTAGTTTTGTCTTAGTAAAAGGTTCTGTATTTGAAAATCAGATAAGTCAGGATTTCAGCATGTTTGTGCTGAGCTCTCTGTGTCTCTTTCCCCCTACACTGCACTGGCCATGTTCATTCCATCTCTTCTGCTTTGGTTTTACACTCAACAAACGCTGTAGAGCCAGCTGCGTTCCTCAAGTCAGTACTTTTCCTGCTTATTTTACCTCTTTTGATGAAGATAAGGCCACATGGGAGGAGCGAGATAAGTTTACAAAGAAAATCAGTCCATCTGAAGAAGGTAGAAAATGAAAACGAAAAAGCAACAACTGTCTCCTAGTAATTTACTTTGATCTAAGTTAGGTCAGGCCATTTAAAATGTCATCGTTTATTATAAACTCAGAGTTGACTATTATTAACATTTAGATTGCAGCAACTTATTATCTTGGTGATAAACCTTACGCCAATATATAACTTGTTTGAATTTATTTACTTTTTGGTATAAAAACAAAATTCCTGAGGAATTACAGAACATACTGTAATTTCATTTTGGGAGAGAATTTTATGTTAATTTTCATAACATATTGGAAAACTACTTGTTATAATCTGAAATAACATTTATTCTAAAACATTTTGTAGTTCCTGTGTGGTGAAAGTAATGTATCACATAACTGTAAGAACAAGCAGTTTGATTTTAGAAACTGCAAGGCTAGATTCATATTTATTCTTTTGGACAACAAATATTTACTGAGTTTCATTATGTACCAAACGATGTGTTGGATACAAGTTGATTAAATCTGACTGAGTTGTCCAGTCCATCTAAATAAATTAAAATGATTTTGGTTACATAAATTTTTTTTCCCAATATATGTACATTTCTGTTATGCTTGTTTAGTTTTCTTTGGAAAGAGTCTTCAATGTACACTAAAATGGGACTTCATTATTTATATTTGTAGAAAATTTTATCTGTGTTATATTTATGAGTGTTATATTTCTTTTATCTTTGTGATAACAATAAAAATTTAAAAATAAAATTTTTCTAATGGAGTATAATATCTTTGTTTTTATTTTCTCTGTGCTTTTATAGGACATTTTCTGATATTTCCAGAGGAATGCTAGATTATTATTATAAACTTGAATAATTTTCTCTGCATATATATATATATGCACATATTTATTTATTTTTATATGTTTATGAAAACTGTTGGAAATTCCAGGCAAGTTGGGGATCCAAAATATATAACAAGTTCATGCTCCTTAACAGGGTCCCTAGAACCAAGGCAAAGTTTATCCTCCCTCCTCCTGCAATAGTGCTG